CATTCTGTTCAGCCTTCGTCTGTTTCTGGATAAGGATCGAATTGGACGGGGGCCCAGAAGTATTAATCTCGGCAAGGTTGCAAGGTTTCAAAGTGAGCGCATATCGGCAGCTGCAACTCGTAATGCTTTAATCTGGGAGCATCTTCAATGATGAGCGCATCAGGAGGCCATTCTTCCTTGAGTCAGTCGACCCAGATCATTGAGTATGTGCAGATGATGACTCTGGAATCCCTGAAAGCCGACGATCCTTGAGGCGGGACATTGGTGAGACGCTGGAATTGAAATTGAATTTCCTCTGAAAGTGAATGCGCCAGCAATTTTCTTCACCATCATATTCGTAAACCCCCAACCCAGGGATTTTGTCTTGGGTTCTTTTCGCAAAAGTGCCTCTGTAGTGGAGACGATCGCCACTATGAGTGCACAGCCAGCAGGCGTATAAATAAGGGACACCTGGTAGTCAAAGATATTCTGAGCTACGCGGCGGAGAGATGGGTCGACGTCATCGCAATGAGAGGAGTCAACCAAGTAACCCTATTCCAAGAAGGGCAGACGCTCTTTGACAACTTCGCCTTACCCGACAAACAATGATAGCAAGGAGAGTTGGAACGTGCTGAATGATGGAATAACGCTAAAAGCAGCCATATCTTGCCACTTCGGCCGCTATAGGGTAGGAATCATCCTTCTCTGCATTGATATCAGCCTTTTCGCGGTCAAGGAAGGAAATCCGAGATTCTAGCATCCAGCTTCTCCTCTGTGCTAGGGATAGAGGTCTATTCGCGACCAACAGAACCTTCGAGTCTGGCACTAGGCTTTTTCGTTGTGTAGAGGATCCTGGCATTGTGACATCGCTGTCCTGCTGTCGGTTTTGCTCGTGGCCCTGCATTGAAATCAGCGAGAGGGTTTTTTTGTGCCTCCAATTCTGAATGGAAGTGTCGGGGAAAAGGAGCTTGATCTGAGCAAAATGTCTACGCATGTCATTAAGAACGAAGGAGGTTAGCGAAACTGTAGAATCGTGCTTTGCACCGTCTACTTGGGACAGGTGTGTATTAGGTGAGTTTTTGACTATCCGTACAACGATTTGTGCAGGCGACTTGTATGCATCACCGGGGCTTTACGACTTGTTTTGAGGATATGCATTTTAGTTGATTTACTTTCCTGAGGAGATGTGTCTCAATAGCGATTCAAACAGGAGCTGCTTTGAATCATAGTGGATCGTGAATCTGTGGGTGCCCATCGTCCGCGACATTTTGATGATTCCGTGATAGGATATTTCACACTCGAAGCAGTTCCGAGGGTCTGCTGAGGAAATTGATAGAGTGGTAAATCGCTCGGGGTGCTGGCCATCAAATTGACAACCCAAGCGGATTATCGATCTGAAAGACAGCGGGGGTGAAGGCTTCAGAAACTTGTTGGGGAATAACATGTCATTAAAGAAAGGTGGTAGGATGGTTGAGACGTATTGAGGTTTGGGTAGGCACTAGGCTTTGTGCCATTAATGCTTAAAAGGCTTTGAATACGCTAGGGAAGAGTTACAAGCAGCTTAGTGGAGATAGTACAAACTGAGCTCATGCCATGCAAGATGTAGACTTGATGTTTGGTAGATGGACACTGTTTGAATCTCAACCAGGAGGTCAAGACCTTGCCGAATCTGTCAGTGGAGAATGCAACAACGCGCAAAGTTGGTGAGACCGAGTACTCAGGATTTACTGAAGTGCGGAAAGATAACTAATTGTTGTCTCACCAACAAGGGCCGAAGATGCTCGAGGATGAGTAAGGCTAGGATGTGCATGGAAATGAAATTGAATCCAGCGAGACAGATATGAGAAATCGGTCAAAGCAAGCCGAAGTTCGATGCACGTTCGTACACTCTGTTCGATTTATGGTGCCGGCAAGACGCCTTCTCAAGGCCACAGAACTGGTTGATTGCAATTGACGAGGATGGTGTTACAAGGACGATTTGGTTGGGGATGCTGTAGCTCGAAGATCCATGTAGGTCTGTGTGGCGCGAGTTGATTGGCCGAGGGGGTCATCACGTGTTTGAGCAGTGTCTTGCACAGTCAACTCAGTATGCTGTGCCGAGTATGGAGGAGTCCAAGGACATGTAGCACATAACTCCGCCTCTAGAATGGGCTGAAGTTCTTAGGCTATGTCGAACGCACCAAAAGACTTCAGTTCGTAGGAGCAAGAGGGGCCCAGCCACGGAGTACTATGTACTATGTACATATCAGGCTGACGTCAAGCAACCTTTGTGGACGGAATGAGGCTGAGGCTCTTGTATGGGTGCCTCAGCGGGTACTGGGTACTTACGCACTGTTGGATGACCAAGTTTCGGAGATGGAGGCCTGGGCGTCGCTGTGGCTGAGTTCCCGGTGGCAGCACCTTAACTAACTGCCCTGGAACGAGGGGTGCGAGGGCTAGGGAGGCCCCCCAGGGGCTCGGCTAGGCAAACGACGCAGGCAACACGTCACAGGGTCTCACTCGACATACTTAAAACCATCCACTCACTGGCTGAGGCGTGGTGCAAGTTGCCTCTCGCGAAGCTTGCCTTGCTAACTAGGCGCTGAACTCTGCACAAAGAAGTTCCGACGATTCATTCTTCATCAGTCGTTCTTGTCCCATCACATCCTCCCAGTTTTGCCCGTCACAGCATCTGTCGTCAAGTCGAAGATGGATCAGAACAATCTAAGGCGCAAGGACACCACAAAGGGTCCCCCTCTGCGCGTTCTGTCACTAGGTATGATTGTGCCTCTCCCGGATCCGAATCTGAACCCCTGATTTGTCGCTGCATGAATACTGATGCAGGCAGATGGCGGCGGCGTTCGCGGATATTCGATGCTCATCATCCTCCAAGAACTCATGCACAGAGTCTATGTCGTGACCGAAGGGGAACCTCCGGATCGTCAGTCTGGTACCCCAAAGCCCTGCGACTATTTCGATCTCATCGGCGGCACTGGTACGGGTGGATTGATTGCTATCATGCTAGGACGCCTGCGCATGGACCTGGAAACTTGCAAGGCGGTCTATGTGAGGATGACAAGAAAAGTCTTTGAAACAGACAAGACATTTGCTGGCATTCCCTACAAGCATACCTTATTCAAGGCTTCCAAACTTGAAGAAGCTATTAAATTATGTGTTCAAGAGCACACGCTCTTTGAGGATGAGGGGAACGACGGCACAGCTTCGGGGGGACGAGAGTTTCAGGACCTGACGAGCCCAGTCAGTACCACAAGTACTGCAGTGAGGAGGTCGATGAGCGTCAGAAGTTCCAATTCCATCGGCAGTCCCGCAACTCCGCTTCGAACCTCCGTTGTCTCCCCCTCGTTCCCAGCCTGGGGCAATGCCAATGCCAGCCTCTACGACAGCCGCCCTAATCGAACTAAGACGTGAGTAGTCTTTCCGTTTTCTCGAGATATGGTGCTAGTTTCAGCCATGATTAACTGAGTGCAGCGCTGTCACTGCCGTGTACCAAGGCACAAATCCTCGAACAGGTTCCTCGATCCTTCTGCGAAGCTACGATAGTCGCAAAGAGCCACCTCCCGAGTACAATTGTAAGATCTGGGAAGCTGGAAGAGCTACTTCCGCTGTGGGTCTCGCGTTCAAACCCATTCAAATCGGCCAAACAGTGTTCATCGACGAGGGCGCGGGAAAATTTAATCCAGCACCACAGTTACTCGAAGAGGCTGCGGTCAACGAGTGGCCAGGAAGGGAAATAGGAGCCTTTGTCAGCATTGGTACAGGTAAACGCCCCGAAGGCACCAACGCCCGGCAACATGAATGGTGGGAGGATTTCATTGGTGGCAGCATGGGCGCCTTTGCAGAAGCAAGACGCCGACTCATAGCCAAAATCGAAGGCTGTGAGGAAACGCATCAGCAAATGCTCAAGACGGAATTGCCAAAGCGAGGCGTACCAGTCGGCAATTACTGCCGCCTGAATGTCTCGGTTGGTCTCGGCGAATTCGCCATGAACGAATGGCAACATTTGTCGCAGATGACGGTCAACACTAGGAAGTATCTGAGCGAACCCACAACTCAGCAAGCATTGATGGATATGGCGACGAAATTGGCCAAAATCGAGTTAATGAAGAGGAGACATGAGCACCAGTTAGAGGCGCAGGCCCGGGAGTCAAGCTGGTCATTGAGACAGAGTAATATTCCGCCAGTACCCTCTCACCCACAAGCCGTCGAGTTGCCGGCGGACGAAGAGATGTACACGACGACTCCTCCCCAGCATTACCGCGTCCCTGGAAATCCCCCATACCCTGATCAATTGGCCTCCTCACAGGACAAATTTGTACTAGTTCCAGGAGAATCACCTCCGCCGCGCATGTCGGGCGAATTACCATATCGGGGGAGAGATGACAAGATAGTCGTACCTCAGCCGCCACCTCCGACGTCAACATACAACCAGTCACAAGTACCGCCTCCAAGACCTCCAAAGACACCAATTAATGACCACGTCTATCCTGCCCATCCTCCGCAACGTATCTCACCAATCAGGCACAATGGGGCTCCTCGGCCGCCATACCCAGACGACGAAGAGCCTCCGCCACAGTACAACCGGTACAAGAAGCCGGAATATGTTCCCAGGTAGTGAAAAAAGAAGAGTATCCGATGTTTCACTTTATATGCCTGGCGAATGCGCGTCTTCCAACGCCAGAGGGCTCGGATCGCCGCTATGATTCTATGATTGTGGACATTTTTGCTTTAAAACCGAGATACCCAAATGAGCATATGATGGATTGGAAAAACAGGACATAGTTATTCGTTCCGAAGTCAGGAGCCGTCTCAAAGAAATGGTCTCGGGTAGCAAGATCGAGAAACGAGTTACGAGAAATGATATTGCATATTACCATTAAAGTTCTGCCGTATCAGCTCCGGGGAAGTGCAAGAGCTGAAGTGGCAATTTGACCCTTCTTGGCTGTGCCGAGTATTTGCCATTCAACTGAATCGACGGCCCTCCCAAAGTTTCCTTCTCTTGAATGTAGCTTAACAGTGTGAACATGCCGGCGGCAACTCCACAGCCGCCGGTCAAGCTTTCGCTTCCGCTGGTACGTTTATATTGATATTTCGTGGCGGTTTGTGATGCTCAGACGACACTAACGTTTCTCATCTATGTGGGAGCTGGCTAACACGTTCGATAGCAATTTCAGCAGGAGATCTATCACCTCCTTCGTACGGAGGATGTTCTTGTCATCCTCGCTCGGGGACTTGGCCTTCTGAAGATTGTGACGAACCTACTCCATTCTTATGATGCGGCAGGCAACTCCCTCGTTATAGTTGTCGGAGCCGACGACCGTGAAAATGAATGGATAGGAGAAGCACTAGCGGAACACTACGCCGTGTCTCGGAGCCCTCTGGCGAAAGGCCTTCGCGTTATAAACACTGATAAAGCCACTGTGGCAGCGAGGGAGAAAATTTACGCCGAAGGAGGAATTGTCTCTGTCACTAGTCGTATCCTTGTTGTGGATCTTCTCTCCAAGTTGTTAGATCCGGAAACCGTTACTGGCTTGGTTATCCTCCATGCAGAGCGCGCGGTCGCAACCAGCACCGAAGCATTCATTGTACGGTGCTTCAGGCAACATAACAAAATTGGATTTCTGAAAGCGTTCAGTGACTCCCCCGAACCGCTGACTTCATCATATGCCCCACTAGCGAGCTTGATGCGGAATTTATTTCTGAAGAAACCCTCGCTGTGGCCAAGGTTCCATGTTTCTATTGCGCAGAGCCTCGAAGGCAAGAAGAAGGCAGAAGTTATTGAGTTGGAGATCGAGATGACAGCTTCGATGAAAGCAATACAACAAGCGGTCATGGAATGCGTGGAGACGAGCATTTCGGAATTGAAAAAGGCCAATTCGGGACTTGAGATGGATGATTGGACACTAGATTCTGCTTTACACCAAAATTTTGACGCCATTGTCCGAAGACAGCTCGACCCAGTGTGGCACCGAGTCAGCTGGCGAACGAAACAGATCGCAAATGACCTTACGGTTCTTCGGACGATCCTACACTCTCTTCTCAGCTACGACTGTGTCTCGCTCCTCAAGTATCTAGATACTGTCCTTGCAACACATTCCCCCCCTCCGAACTCTAAGCAGCAGGATCAGTCACCTTGGCTGTTTATGGATGCTGCTTCAATCATATTTAACTCGGCAAGGGACCGAGTCTATACTGGCAAAGTCGACGACAGTGGCGTTCTACCCACATCTAAGTTACCAGATTCCCTTGTTCCTGTCCTCGAGGAGCAACCGAAGTGGGCTGTACTTGCGGAAATCCTTCAGGAGATTGAGACTGATGCGTACCTAAATCCGGTGAGGAGTGACTCGAATGATACGGTGTTAGTGATGTGCAACGACCAAGGAACCTGCCGTCAAATTCGAGAATATCTTCAGTCTATGCACGTGAAACCTCTGTCTAGAGACCTGAACAACGGACAAGCTCCTCATGAGGTGGAGGAACAAGAAGCCAAGGGCTCCGCAGAATTTATGCTAAGACGCAAACTTCGAGAATACCTTGGGTGGAGAAAAACATTCGCTCAAGTCAGCGCATCACTGTTTGAGGAGAACCAGAAGTCTCTAAATGATATTAAGGGGAACAGCACAGCATCTGCTCGACTCGGTAACAAAGCACCTGCCAACAAACGCAGACGTGTGAGAGGTGGAGGTGCCTCGGGTCTTAACCCATCCCGTACAGCCAACGGTGCGGTGGCTTTAGTTGAGGACAAGGCAGCACAAGTAGCCAGTCTGCTGGCAGAGCTACGTCCTTCAGAGACTGAAACGTTCCAAAAGGAGGATTTGGTGATTGATGATCTCAATGGAGCCGGAGAAGACTTCTTCGAGCTGTACAGTCCGGAGGATCAAGTGGTAGTTCATCCGTACGACGGCGACCAAGATGATCAACTCCTTGAAGAAATTAGACCGAAATACATCATCATGTACTCGCCATCGGCGGACTTTATCAGGAGAGTCGAGGTTTACCGATCAAGCCACTCGGACCGCAGTGTACGAGTTTACTTCCTTTACTATGGTAACAGCATTGAAGAGCAGCGATACCTGTCTGCAGTTCGTCGAGAGAAAGATGCTTTCACGAAGCTTATCAAGGAGCGAGGTAATATGGCAGTCACACTCACGGATGCTGGAAATCTGGACCCCGAAGAAGCCTTTTTGCGGACGGTCAACACTCGAATCGCCGGTGGCGGAAGACTTGCAGCCACGGCTGCACCTCCGAGAGTGGTGGTGGACGTTCGCGAATTCCGCTCATCTCTTCCAAGTTTACTCCACGGTCGGAGTATGCAAGTTGTTCCATGTCAGCTAACAGTCGGCGACTATGTACTGTCACCAGATATCTGTGTCGAGCGGAAGTCGATACGAGATCTAATCGCTTCTTTCAAGAACGGACGACTGTTCAACCAAGCGGAAACAATGCTCCAGTATTACAAATACCCATTCCTACTCATCGAATTTGAGCAAAATAAATCTTTTACCCTAGATCCATTTGCAGACCTGACCTCGGCGCTCAAGGCGCCGGACGCAGAGACCAGGGATTTGCAAACGAAATTGGTTCTTCTCACGCTTGCCTTTCCGAGGCTCAAGGTCATTTGGGCATCCTCACCTTACCAAACGGCGGAAATTTTCGAAGAACTCAAGAAACAGCAAGAAGAGCCAGATCCATTGCGAGCAGTGCAGATTGGCTTAGACGAGAATGAGGATCCAGAAGAGAGAACATTCAATACCGGGCCGCAAGACCTCTTACGGACGATTCCTGGAGTGACAGCAAAGAACGCAAGTCGTCTATACCTTGAATGTAAAAACGTGTTGGAAGTTGCCAACATCAGCCTCGAAGAACTTGATCCACTTGTGGGCAAGGAGTCGGGTCGACAGATCGTCAGGTTCTTTACTCGAAGGGTTGGTGACGAGGAAGATCAGTCAATGTAAACTACTATTGTGCTCCTGGCGTTGGAACGCACGGTCTGAAGTCGGACTGACTAGCTGTTGTGGCTGTGGCGAGGATCCATCATTTGCGATGTTGCAGAGGCTGCGCTCTTGGATACCTTTGTGCTTGAAAAGCAGTAGTTTGCCGTCGTAGGGGGATTGAATGGGTTGATAAGCGGCAAAAGCGAACACGGTAGTCAACAAATGATGAAGATGCATGAATAGTATAAATTGAAGTAAAACAGAAACGTCGTTGGAGGTCTCTAACTAAAACTAGATCCATTCTCCGAACTCCCATCAAATCATCACCGCACTCGTACTGGTAGTGTTTGTGTGAATGCCCGTAACAAAGCAGCAAAGTGGCAATGCAGCCCCATGTCTCATCAAGTTGTGTCCTTCAAGACCTGTTGGATTCTCCGCGAATGCTTGCAAGGGAATAGTACTCTCCCCCTTAGATGTCATCGATGTCGACCTCCTTGTCGGAGTCACTATCCCGGTCTTCGTCGAACTCGACATTATCGTCCACGCCCTCGTGACCATAGGTATCGGTCTCGTTGATCTTTGCACTCTCGGGGAGTTCACCGTATGCCTTTAAAGACCTTGCCTCATCCGCGCTGTATTTCAAAATGACGTCTCCCTTCTCGTCTTGATAGTCTCGCAAACTCAACAGGATGATGTCTCCTTGGTTGATCCAGACTTTCTTGCGCAGTTTGCCACGGATGTGAGCGAGACGTTTTTCGCCGTCGAAACAGAGGGCCTCGAGACGGCCGTTGCCCAACATTTTGAGGACTTGGGCATATTCTTGTCCTTCTTCCTTGAAGGTCAACTCGCGCTTTTCGTTGTCATTTTCGTTCTTGCCGCGACGTCGGTTTTTACCTCCCTGTAAGCATTCGAGTTAGCATAAATTTTGGTAGAGAACACTGGCAGACGTTTCTGGTGCGATTCTATGTTGTTGCCGTGGGTCGACACGAGAAATTCGTGGCGGGGTAAGTTGGGTGCGGTGTGGCGCTGGGGCGGGTGGGCTGTAGACTTACCTTTCCCTTATTCTTAGGCATGTTGGCTGACTGTCAGTGACAGAGAGAATGTGTTGTTTTTGGTAGAAGTGTCTAATGGCTTGCGAGACGTTGGTCTCGTGTATTTGCAGAAGATTGCCGTGGTTATTGTGTGAGAAATAATGGTATGTGGAATGGGCCGCGAAAGAAGCCGCGAGTCGACGTTGTCTGCGAATAAATGGTCGGATATTCGTGGGGCAAAATTTGAAGTTCTACCAGTACTTGTACTTGGTGGTGGCCACTAGTCCGTGGCTGGCAACCGCTGCCTAGAATCTTCACCCTGCTTCCTCAGCCCTGTTGCACTGTGCACCCAAGTGCTCGTACCTTTTCTTTGCTGCTCTGCTCGCCACTGCTGCCACTCCAACCTATTTCTGCTTCCTCAAATGTCAGTCACCCGCCGTTGAAAATGCTTGCCCGATGGCAACTGTCGTTACCACTCGCCCCTTCAAGCCCCTTCCCGTCCCGCAGGCCCTTGGGTTTGGGCTAAAGGCGCGTTTCACTCACGTTGAAAACGTCCCAACTCTATTCGACCACAAGTTCCTAGTCGACCGATACAGCCCCAAACGAGCCGCCATTACGGACTATTATTCTAGACTTGCTCCGGACGTTCTTCGATGGCGCGTTATCTCGAATGCCAGCATCAAAAAGGTCCCCAAGGCCGTTCTGCGAAATCGACTTAAACGTAGATGGGCCAGTGCCTTTGCAGAGGCACTGAAAAGGGCTGGATACTATCATAACGGGAGGCAGCGTTCTGGTCCCAAAGATGGCAAAAACTACATTTCAGGACTCAAGGGTACTCTCGAAATCCTGGTCTTCTCAGAACGTGGCATCACATGTCCTCATGGCGAGCTTGTTGGTGCATGCGGTGCTTTACTGAAGTCCCTACAACGGAGACAGCAGCACTTGGACAATGCGGGTGTCGACTCTACACCAGGAAGAAAGGCTCTAGAGGATAAAGTAGACACCGAAGTCGACCAGAATGTGCCGTCCTCCATGTGGTCACTCTGGGGGCGGACACTCTTGTGAAAGATCGATTTGTAAAATACGTGTTATCCTGTACTATCAGAGCTGGGCCCACGGACTACTGTATTTAATTCAGATTTGGCATACCAAGATCATATAGGGACTACCGTTTGATCATCATAATTCCGGCGAAGGAGCTTCTCCCCGTGCATCGCCTGAAATACGGCCGACTGATCGAGCGACATATGATCCGCTGGGCCCCTGTTCTCATGCTTCCTCACGGTCAAAGGGGAATCGACATCCGTTCAAGATACACAAAGCATCTCCGCTTTGACTGTCTCGGCTGCCAACCCAAGCAAACAGCCGCAAACATTCGTCACGCAGGCCGCTTCTGGTGGATCGATCGACTCCGGGATTGTCGAATGCTCTGCGCCGCCCAAGAGGAACCCACAAAACTCCTCCGCCTATCCATGGTCTCGTGTTCGCTATTCTGGTCAATGTTGGTGTACCAAGTAGTCAATATAATATCGAGCTGGATTGCGAAGTTGAGGCTCCAAGAACTGGAGCAGAAGTTGGACTGTCGTCGTTCATGCATCCATTGGCGAAATCGTTTCGGTCGAAAATATCCCAATGGCTGGATGAAGTCAAATACGTTTTCAGCAACCCTACCTCTTTCTACTATGTGACGAGGAAATGAGGCGAATGTAACGCAGACGACAATGAATAAGGAGCGTGCCCAACCCTTAAATAGGTGGAGTTATGGTGTTGGACAAGGATATTACAGTGAGACGATTGTTTCCCCTGCTTCACGTGCCTGGAACTTTTATGCGATTTCGCCGCGCCGCGCCCAACACTTCGTCGAAGATATTAATTTACCTCCATTGAATATTCGCTGACCAGCACTAGAGATACAAACCCTGGTGCATCAACCATTCAGCTTGAATCATTTCCTTGTCCCCTTTTAAGTCGTTCGCTTCATTTTTATCTGTGCGCGCTGTGCATTACTATTTTCAGGAGTCAAAGAGATGTTAGTTTCTTTGACTGTCGGCAAGGTCGATGCCGGTGTCGCGGTCTTGCTCACCCAGGACAAGCGGTTGGTGAGTTGAGTGCTTTCTATCTGACAGTATCCATCGACTTACGCTTACTTCAGATCGAGTTTCCTTCTATTCTCCTACCGTCAACCATCACATCGGGCTCGATCGTTGATATCGAGGTCAGGCAGAACCACGAGGCAGAACGGAATTCACACGCCGCTTTCGCTGCCTTACAGAGACAAATACTAAACACTTATGGTCTCCATATCCCTGCGACACCTGTCTTGCGCCTCCGCAATGCCACACAAACCTCCCTCGTCCTCGAATGGGATCCCATTCAGTTGGCAACGACTACTCTACGTTCACTTGCCCTCTACCGCAATGGAAGCAAGGCAGGGAACATCCCACGCCCCCTAGAGACGCTCAGCACCAAAATGAGTGGATTAGCGATCGACACAGAGTACTCATTCTATTTGGTGCTCAAAACCAGCGGCGGAATATATACGAGCAATACCCTCACAGTCAAGACCCACGCAATGAACAACCTGACGGGTATAACCGTCACCCCGGGGATACTGCCTCCGCAACTGAGAGAAAGTCTTGAAGCAGCTATTGCGCGTATCGGCGCAAGAATCAACGACACGGTCAAGATTGACACCACCCATTTCGTCTGTACAGAAGGTCGGGGTCGTGATTGGGAAAGAGCAAATGAGATGAATATCCCTGTCGTCAGGCCTGAATGGGTGGAGGGCTGTGAACGAGAAGGAAAAATCATCGGAGTCCGTGGATATTATTTGGATGCGGATCCCAAACAAAGACAGCTCGGGTCGAACCCAAGTCTTTCAGCACCGGCAGGCCGACCTTCCACCACGACTGCGCCAAAACCCCAACACGCAAATGTGCCTCAGCAGCCAAAAGAACAGCCGCCAAAAAGTCCTGATAGAGAGAGCACTGTAAGCGGGGAGCCGGGTCCTGAAGTTCTTCCTACACCTCCTCTCCAGAAAGAGCTACCGCCGACGCCAGCCGACGATGGCGAAGAGGGCAGCGAAGAGGAAGAAGCTGAAGATGAGGAACAAGAGGCCGCACCGGCCGAGCCAAAGGGTAAAGGCAAGGCCCCAGAGGTCGAGCTAGATCAGGAGGATGACGAGGAGGATGATGGAGAGGAATTAGGTGGTTCCCAGCAGCTGTCCAAAGCTGAGGGCAAAGGGGCCGAAATGGAAGATGTCGCTTTATGACTGGAATGAAAATACTCTGGGTCTCGGAGGGCATAGCCACGAATTATGAGCCGGCCGAGTCGTCAGACCGGCCATCAGTTTGACTGTGGCTGGTAAGGATTCGGACGCCGCCACAACCCGACCAGGTGGCTCTTGTGACAATACCTTCTGTCGCTCAGGATCGGAATTCCATAATGCTCCCTGGCAGGCTTCGGTGGGAAAAGTTCCATAAGATTTCAAGGGATGGAGTCTCATGCGGGTGGGGGGGAACAGGGCTGTGGATAGAGGAGCCGGTATCACCAGCCAAGTCTTGGAGTCTGGAATTGAACTTCTCCTGTGGGGCGAATGTTGGTTCGGGGCTCAGCCTCAGCCTTATGGCATGGAGCAACACGCAGACACAGGCAATATGTGGGAGAAGCGACGTCAGCAACAATCGCAGGACCATTGATCGCCTGCTTCCAACTTCTTTGCTTCCACGAGCGGCATCAATCAACGTCCCTTGCTCTCATTTGACAGGATTTCGGTTCATTGATGGAGAGGGTTCGCCCAGATCAAAGCCAAAGCAAGCAGCACAAAGCTCTCAACAAGCCACAAGGAAGACTGCGAATGAAATGGACAAGTTGGAGCTCGCTTGCATCTGCCTGGCGCTATTTCCCCGGAGGGGGACATCAGCACCTTGATTCGAGCTCCAACTTGTCCTCGTACTTCAGCCTCACTAGCCGCAGCGCTCCGGCCACTCAGGGCTCAGCCTTGTTGCTGCGCATCTGCAGGCCAAGGCAGTAGGTTCGACAACAATGGCTACCACTTGTGTGTCGTCTTTCAGCAATACGAACTAGGAAAGCATCTGCTCTAAAAGGTTCCCGCATCGAGCGCTGCCACGGAATGTCATCTGCATGTCAAGCGGTATAAGACCGCCTTGCACCTCCACCAGACCTGTTTTTCCTCTTCTGCATCCCAACTGTGTACAAAGCAACTGACCAACCGACACTTTCCTTACCTTTTCTTTCTTTCCTTTCCAGTCTCTCTTTTCTTTGTATTTCCTTATCACATTCATTGAAACCTGTTCCAATCAAGCAGCATACCTCGACTTCAGAGGGTTCTCAAGTACATTCATTGCAATCAACTGTTCCATTCAAAAGCAAGCATTCGGAGACAGCTATAAAACACGCGCTCTCAATAGTCACCGCAACCCCGAGTTAATACGTAGTATATACTCACAGGCAAGAGATAAGCAAATCAAGATGTTCGCTCATTCCATCGTCGCCGGGATCCTCAGCATTTCTGCCCTTACTTGCGCCGCTCCTCTCACTGTTCGCAATCAGGCTGGCGGTTGCAGCTACAATAATGGCACCTCAACCACGACAGCCCGCCCAATGAGCACAGGCTCTTCAATCAACGATGCTCCCTACGGCTACCCTAATGACACATCATACAGCACCCCTGCTCGTCCCATGACAACCGGCTCTGGCTCTGGATCACCATACAACATTCCAAGCCAGAGCAACCATGATCAACCCATTGCCACCATCCTCCCCGACTTTACGTCTCAATACACCGTCTCCAGCGGTGCCATCAATTTTCACACCAGCCGTGGCCTCGTCTCTCGCACCCACAGCAACAGTGGAAATGACATTACCACGCTGGTCACATTTGAACTCGACGAGAAGTACGGCGGCAATCAATGTCAAGTGGTCTTCGACTTGGGTCCTAATCCAACGAGCTACGTCACCGGCACAGGCAAGGCACAACTATTCACGTCCCTCGCTCCAGCCACAGCCGATAGCGAGAGCTGGCCCTCGGGCAATTTGCGGAATCAACATCTTGGGACAATCGACGTGAATGCTTACGGCCGCGCATCCTGGGAAGCTGATTCTGGACCTGGCGCCACTGTCGAGGGCAGGTTCCCTTGCTCGCTCATCGCGGGACACATTTACGGCGGAGAGATTGTCCCCGTCGGGGATGAAGTTACCATCTCTTGGGCTGCCACACAGGGCGATGGGCCAAAGATACTCATCTTCTAAACCAGCAAGCATGGACATGGTCTTTCTTGGGTCATTTAGGTGAAAGAGCGACTTGTTTGTCTTTTAGCGACTGGACGGAATTGTACTTGGGGTGATATGGACAACATTTTCTGCAAGGCAAGCGTGTCAGCAAGCGGGCACGGACGGTTATCAGTATGCTGAAATGATACCACGATCTTGGTGCATCTTGGATTTTGTTTGACTATTTTGAGGGTTGGGCAGAGGCTGTTTTCTTTTGATATGGACAGAGCAAAATATCCAAGCATCTAATACAGACATATCTACATCATCGGCACGACGATCACCAGCTGACCTGGCTCATAATCATAAATTTTTTCTCGCTGTCTGTTGGCCATACTACACCTGCCTTTGGTGCATGTGCAAAGTTCCAGAGGACCAGCTGCTCCAAGTCCCTTCCTAGTGCGTACAAGGCCAGCTAATGGAGCTCGAGCAACGCCCAACACAAACCTTTGTTTGTTCCACCTTCGGGTTTCGTATCGCGTGTGCGCAATGAAAAATAATGCATCCAACCAAACTTTTTGTTGTGTATTCAATTGACACACCATAAATAGGGGATTCCCAAGTGATATCGCAAGGCTACACTGGCGCACTTCACCGCTAGTGATCCTTTCTCCATACCCAACGAGACCAATTAGCCTTTTCCACGTCAAATACCGAAGAAGCTTTGAGCCCGCTTCATGCGATTTCTAAAATTGTCGTCCTTCAACCCACCCTTCGCATCATACAATCTTATACACTTTCTTACACCACCAAAAGCACATGACTCCAAATAAGACCAAGCCGGCCGTGGTGGCCCAGAACCAATTCAGATTATCCACGTCTTGACCGGGGACTTTGAAATTGCCGCCAAACATCCCGGTGACGATATTCATAGGGAGAACGATGGTTCCGAGAACGGTCAACTTGCCTAGAACGTCGGCAGTCTATGAAGGTAATCAGAATGATTTCGATTGGATCGGCGCGTTGATGGGACAAACCTTCTCCTGCCGCTCGTTCATATGGATGCTGACCTGGGCTAAGTAGTTTCCATGTGCCCTGGACAGGACCATCTCATAATGCGACAGATTTCCCGTCATGGTCAAGATGTGATCCTGGATATCACCGAGGTACAAACCAATTTCCGACTTGGGCGCGACTTCCCACTGCTCGTTGCAACGTTTTGCAAACCCCTTTATAACATCGGCCTTGTTGCCAAGCAGTCGGTACAGTGACATAACCTTTTTGCGACACTCGCCAATACGGAGGAGCATGTCGATTCCACTGATTCCTGGATCACCCGCATCTGACTTCCTTTCGTCGACTTTCCTTTCGCCATGCTCTCCGGCAAGGGCATTAGTGTGTTGAAAAGCTCGCAATATCAAATCGTCGATCGTATCAACTTCTTCCTCGATGTGAGTAATCAGAGGTCCATAAACATCGGTGATATCGTCAATGATGGCATATGAGATCCAATCCGCACTGAGAATTAGATAATCCGAGAGTTGGCGAATCCGCCTTCGGACATTTGCAGGATGCGGTATCTGAGAGAAGTGAAAGGTGACGATACCATACCGGAAGACACAGACATACATGTTGATAGGTTCCAAGTAGTCTTCGCTGTTGGTATCTTGCTCGAAGGTCCGATAATTAATGAAATAGTAGTTGCGGAACAGCTCAACTTTCTCACGCGCTTCTTGCATCATAATATCTTCCGAAGTGAGAGCATGAATCCCGAATGTCTTTGCCAGGACACGCATTTCCTGATCTGTCGGACAGAGAACATCGAGCCAGAAAGTCGGCCGCGGTCCGTATTTCTTCGGCTTGGAAGGACGAGAAAATGAAGGTTTCTTCTCCGGTGTCGCTGTGCCCGAGTTCTTGCTCTTATCAGAACTCTTTCCACTGGCCACAGGCTTCAGTTGGGACGTCTCCGCAAGACCAGGCATTCCGGCGTAGTTCTCAACCGCCGTTGCACTTTTAGGACTTTGCAGTGCACTGGGTGTTTCCGTAATTTGACCGACTCCTAGCAAATCCTTTTCCTCCTCGGAACTTGAATCGATCAATTCGGGGGGATCTGGGATGAAAAGTTCGCGAAAAGTCCCACCTGGTTGTACCAATTCCGATATCGTCTCGGCGTGGATCGTACTTTCAAATTCCTCGTTGAAATAAGTGTATCTGTATTGCTTGTCTTCCTCGACATGGTGCCAGGAATTCTTCTGAGGCCGCAGCCTTCCCTCGACAAAAACAGGCTCACTGACCTTCTTTGCCCGCCGTTCTCCAGCTTCCCTGGCCTCTTTCTCTTCTCGACTCCACTCATCAAGAACCCACAGATTGGGCCACTCCCGCACTCGGCGTTTTCGTCGTTGGCAACTCATATAGGGTTCCTGTGGCTGCGTTCTATGATAATACTCGTCCCCAGCTTCGGATACTTCATCTGCAGGGAAACATACATCTACCTCAACTGGCACAGTAAGCGAGCGATGTCGTTGAAGTCCACCAGGCCGAAGTCTAGGACTCGGTGGTGCAGAATTCGGCTCATTGTCTCTGTCCGCGTCGATAGTGATCAACGCGTCCTTAGTGGCAGCCGTAAGATTTCTTCGACTGTCCGGTGAACGCGTCAGGAAATTTCCGTCGTCGACCATAACATCGCCATAGTGAGGTTCAAGAGTAGGGCTCGGTGGAATAGATGGAGGGTTGTTAACGTCGTAGCCTTGGTCCAACTTCGGGAACGAGTGTCCAGGAGTCCCAGTTGTCCTCTTTCTTTGCAGCTGCTTTGAACCCGACGACAGCGTAGACGTATGAGACTTGACCCTAAAAAGTCCATAGCCAGCTTCGACGGGAGTTTTAGGCTTTGCCGCACCAGGAATCAAGGGTGTACGATCTGTGGAGTCTTCATTGTCGGATGCATTAGAACTCGAATCATCTGGTTGAGCTCTCTGCCTCTTTTGCGAGCCGGATTCAAGTTTGGGGAAATGTGCGCTCCGGTACGATGCAGCAAAAAAGGGAGCTAGGCGACTGTCACGCCGAGGACGTAATGTAGGCTGGTCTCGGTGGTCTAGGAGCGCTTCACTGTCCAGGCTGTCGTCGCTGATGTTGCCTGGGTTGGACTGGTAGAAGGGTGGACGCGCGCTGGTAGTCTCTTGGGCTTCTTCGATCAATGGATCGTCCGTTGGAACATCTCTTCCGCTCTGCATTGCGGAGGTTTCTGAAGGAGCAGCAAAGGATTGACGCCTGTTCCTCCTCTTTTTTCCTCCGCGGTGCTTTCTTTTCTTTTTGCCATCTGTAGGTGCTGTGGAGACGGTTGAGGGTCGAGCCTCGCTTTGGGCATGAGAAGCAGACGGTTGACCGGTTCTAGAGGCACTCATACTTTCGCGTGGCCGGGGAGGTTGGGAGGACTGGCCTCGATTTGGTGGTGGGAGAGGATGCATTCAACAAGTATGTGGTAAGCTGGATTGCGAGGGAGATATGGAGATAGAGGTAATCAAACGAGGATTCCAATGGGACCAGAACAGATGATGAACACATATGTTAACAATCATGTAAGAAGACAGACGACAAAGTGAATGTTGAATCTTATGTGTGAAGACGTTTGTTGTGGGAGGCGTTCACAAGTCAATGCTTGAACGATATACTCGGTACTCTTAGGCCATGACGTGGGTAACGACTTTTCTCAGGTGCAATTACTCGGGACTCCGCATGCGTTACCACTTCGAAAAGGAACGCTGTAGTCTCGTGACGTCTTCATCATTAACAACAACAACAATATACATACATTATCTAGTCATATAACGAGATTCGTGTCGTCGTCCATCAATTGCAAAGTTTCCATTCATGCCATGCCAGCAGAAAAGGGTCGCTTTTCAACAGGAACATCCCTCCAACGACAAACCAACAGCACCGTCGCAATGCAAATCAAAGCAGATTCCCGATAATACCAATCCGCCCCTTCCTTCCCATTAGAACATGTTCTCGTTCCCTTCAATCCCGCTCATAGCAAGACTATGCGTGCTCACAGCCCTCAAACTCTTTACATCGCTGCCACCGCTAGCGAGCCTTGTCGAGCCTTTGGCTCTTTTTCCCTTATCCGGTCTTGCAATCAATACCTGTGCAGGACATACCACGATCTCTTCATCTCCCACTCCATTGTCGTCCCCTTTCTTGACAACAAGCGGGAAGAGCACCATGCGAACTACGGCATGGTCACGCTCCAACTCCTCATTGCTTGTGGTTTCACCACTCCTTTCGTTCATCAGGCTTGCATTGAAATATACCTTCCGAGCCAGATCACCATTGGTATCGTACTCGGGTTGCAATGGCGGGAGCATGATGTATTCAGCGCGCTGGGTGCGCATCTCGATCGATAATTCCACCGCTGTGCGCATGACGTTGCGCAGTGATCCCACAATCTGCTCCTCTAAATGCTGTGGTGGAGGGAGGAAGCGCGACAGTGTCGAGAATATCTCAATAGCCACCGCTTCGGTGTCGCTTTCTCTTTGTGCTTTGAAACTTTCTCGTTTGGACAGCAACGTGAGTGTAAGTGCTCTCCATTGGTGTACCGCGCTCGATGGTCCCACTTCTCCAAGATTCTTCTCCAGTTGTTTCAGTTTCTGTCGTTGATCACGGTCCATACCAAAGAGGTATCTTGTGAAGACATATTCCCAGATCATCGTCATCACCACTGACATAAAGACATCTCGTCGCTTGACCCGGTCCGCCAGGTAGTCGTCCACATCGGAACCATCTAATATCGCATTGTCGAACCGGTCCACAATTTTCTCGTCTCGGACCTCGCTTGTGGTCCGACAAAGCTTCAGGTCGCTAAATTTGGAAAACCGTAGCACCCACCCTTGCACCTGTTGACACAACTTCTGGCACGCTTGATCGAAGTAGTCCTCGTCGTGGAAGACAACCACATCGTCTGCTCTCCTGGACAATATCTGAGATTGCAACTCCCTGATCTTCTCCCTTGCTGCTTCCAGATCCCCCCGAAGTCGTTGGATCTCTGCATTTTTCTCCGTTAATGCTGTGTCGATTTCATGTCTGACGATCGACTCCATCCCAGTTGACAGCTCGTTATGCCTAGATCGAAGTGTTTCCAATTCTTTTAAGGAGTCTTGCCAGTGTGATTGAGCCTCATCGTAGTCTTGCCTGAAACTAACCAAGCTTTGTTCGTGCTCTTTCTTTAATGATTCGTGTGTTGCGATCAGCGATGCAACCTCTTGCTTGAGACGTGCAATTTCTGCATCCCGCTCCTGAATCTGCGCATTGAAACCCACGGTAATATTTTCGGATCGATTGCGTTCGAAATGAGCTTGCTCGAGTTGTTGTTCCGTAACGATTTTTGCTTCGGCCAAGGCGCGGTTCTCACTTGCGAGCTGGTCTAACTTGGCCTCAAGATCCCTGATTTGATGCATGCTCTGTCGTTGTCGGATACTCGGAGGTCGTGTTGGTGATCTGGGACTGCCCGGGTATGAACCATACCCGTCCTGCGTTGGTGTTAGGATGAGGAGATACTGCGTTAGGCTGTGCGAAACTTACGTATACCTCTGCCATTTCCCTTTCATGAATAGCAGCTCTGCCGGCGTTCTGAGAATTGACGGGTCCTTGCGATGACCCGGACGCAAAGTTGGCAGGGTCGTACGGGGAGATTGAAGCGCTGCGCAGGTTGCGCAACGATGAGGTTCGGGACTTGCTTCTGCCAAGCGATTTAGCGCCAGGTACTGGCGAGTCACGTGATTGGATGCAGGCGGCCGCAAACGCTGCCGCTCCAGCAGCAGCCACTAAACCAGCTGAAGCAAGGCTGTCATTTTCAGCGGCATGTCGAGGCGTCAGAGAGGTAGGGGGATCGGAGAACGGATGCGCTTTTGAAGTCGGCTCGGTCGAGTCTTCATTGATTGCATTCAGTGGTGACTTACCCGGCGAATAGGGTCGATTGATGTTGCCGTAAGAGTGCGAATCAAATGCCGAGCGACTCACTGGTGCTGCAGCCGACCGATCAATAAGATTCGACGCAAGTTGGTCACTGTCTTCGTGGTGCGGCGAGATTTTGGCCTTCTGTTGCCTTAGCTCCTCTCGGCTATGATGGTGACCATGAATACTGGGGCTTCTCCGGAGAGGACTTGCCACAGGCTGAGGACTTCGGGTATAAACGTCCGTGTTGAGGGGAGAGGGCATCGCGGGAGAAGAATTGAATAAAACCGAGGATCTGTCCTTCGAAGTGGATTCGACGGGTGAAGGCCTTCTTCTCGGTGTCTCCAGACTAGCAGGCTGGTCGATGTTCTTCCTGCTCGTCACGACCTTAGATACATCCTCTGTCGAGCTTGTGGGTGATTGAGGTCGCGGTGGACGTAAGTTCATCTCCGTGTTGCTGTTCCTGAGACCGCCGAAGTCCCCGTGTTGAACCCCAGGACTTGGTATAAAGCCACTGTCCCTTTGAGATGTGAATTGGCCCGTGGACAATATCGGCGACTCGAACTGGACTCCGCTGTCTCGGTTCGAGTCTGCGTGGGCAAGGTTCGTAATAGGGCCAAGCTTAGTGAAAGACCACCCAGCAGATGGCTGCCAAGATGGTGACGGCGGCTTTGGCAGAGGTTCTCGTGTAGGCTCGTTTTCTCCAGCACCAAAGCCAAGTCCTGCTGCAACACCAAGAGCAGTATCCATGATATCATCGTGTTCAGGTGGAGGAGTGAGAGCGCGATCCCTTGGGAGATCTTCGGGCTCTTCTCCTGCCCATGCCGGAGGCGATCTTCTCCTCTTACGTCTTTCACGCGTGGTTGTACTCACGTCGGATAAGTCTTCGGCATTCCCTGGAAGCATTTCTGGTATATGCGAAATTTCCATGCCCTGTTCGGGAACAGATTCGTTGACTCCAGGTTCCCAAGTCTCCTCCATGCTGTCCTCCGTGCGGCCAAGCCCCATCTTTGTCGGCTCGATATCCTCAGTTCCGCTGACGACACTACTTTTCTTCTTCGCCTTATTTTTCTTGCTCTTTTTGCTTTTTGAAGTGTTTCTGGTAACGCCGAAATCAGTTTCATGGGGTCCTTTCCCAACATCCATGTTCTTAGAAGTAGCGATTGTAGCGGGTATAACAGCCTCTTCTTCGTTAGGTTCAGCAGCGGTCGATTCTTCTTCTGGCGTGATACTAATAGTGTCAAATACTTCTCGCTGACGGTCGGATGTTTCTGGGACCTCACTGGAGGTTGTCACAAGCCCTGCGTGTTCGTCTTTCTTGGGAAAATCGTCGGGGTCCCTTAACGAAGATCTTCGATCCTTTTCTGACTCGGCAACTGGCGTGACTCCAGGAAAATCGGATATCCTGGGCATATCCATTGCTCCGTCTGACGAAGCCTCTCCGATATTGAAGGTGGATTTCGCGGGATCAATGTTTATCTCACGTGGTAGGTCATGCTCTTTGCCCAGAGTGTGCCGATCAGGTGTCACTTCCGGCCGAGGGGATGGAACCGTCAATTCGTGAGTGTCCTCTGACCTGGGCCCTTCTGGTTCGGCAGTCGTTGCCCCAAGGACAATGTAGTTCTCAGAACGGACCGGTTCTTGCTCAACGACAGGGCTGGTTGGCTCCAGGGTCTCCCCGGTCTTCATCACCTCTGACTCTGCAGGCACCGCTAGGGTTTCGGGCTCTTTTTTAGCGTTGTATGTTCCCGACTCTCCAGTAAGTGCGGCACTTTCGAGATCTTCCCTAGACTCGGTCATTTCTGGCTCAGGGAGAGGTGCAGGAGTCGATATCCCGGAGGTATCTTCGGTTATCTGATCATCAGCCCCCATCCAAGCAAAAAATGACTTTTTCTTTTTGTCCTTTTTTATCTTTTTCTTGCTTGGCGTTTGCGCAGAGTAGTCAGCAGTGTCAGTTTCTGGCGCAGGGGCAGGGATAGGCATTTCTTCAGCTTTGACATAGTCCATAAGTTCTGGTGACGTGGTCCGTTGAATTGGTGTTTGCATAGCGGACGCGAATTCTTCATTAGATTTTGGTGTAGCCGTGCCCGGTGTCCAGTAGTCATCACTTGCTGCTAAGACTTTGCTGTTTTTGCCTTTCTTCTTCGACCTTTTGCTGGAGACCGCCCCTTCGATTTCGTGTTGTCTCGCATCAATTTTCGATTTACTCAAGGATTTGCTCTGGGCCCCAGGCGCATCATCTCGCCCTGTATCTATTTCATTCTCTGTTCTTGGTCTACCAACTCCACCGACCTCCGGCTCCTCTGCTGACGGCGACTTTCTCTTGCTCTTTTTCTTCTCTTTTTTCGACTTCGATGCGGATGATTCGGACGTGATAATCTCGGGCTCCTCCACCACAGGAATGGCCTCACGCATGTTGCCAGTCGTTCCATCTGGAATTCCAGATTGGAGTTCGGGGGTGGACGCGGTTTCGCCGCCGAGACTTGGCATATCGTGTTCGCCAACTGCATCTATCTCATCTGCGGCGGACGGGGAAGTCTGCATCACTTTTTGACCTTCTTTTGCCGGCCCTGAGGAAACGTCCCCCGTAGGCTCGACCACAGCGAGACACGTCTCGGCCACTTTCTCCACGGCTTCTCCAGCGACGTTGGGTTTCACTTCTAATTCCAGAGCCGCTTTGTCGATTAACTCTGCGGGAGCCTCTGTTTTCGGCCGAGCTTCGCTCGCTGTCTCCTCTTGGACTTTTCCGATACCATCTTGAACCGTCTGCCGTTGTTCGTTTACCTCGTCCCCGGCCGAGAGTGTCTTCCGCTTCTTCTTCTTGTCTTTCTTAGGCTTTGCGGCAGAAGTGATCATTCCCTCATCGGTGACTGTGTCACTCATTGATGCCGCAGTTGGAGGCTGATCTAGAGAATTGATCACTGCAGGTTCAGGGACAAGTTCGGTTTCCGCTTCTTCCACCTTGGCCTCAGGTCCTCCATTTTCGGTTTGTTGAGACTCGGTAATGGGCTCCTCATATGTGGCCCGACGATTCTTCTTATTCTTCTCGGGTTGCGGAGACCAGGTCCCGTCTTCTGCTATGTCCTCAATCTGCAGATTCACGTCTGGTATTGCGCTTGGAACCCTTGAGGTAGATATCGTTTCAGCCTCATGATGCTTGTCGTGAAGTGATGTTGGGGCATCTGCCTGCAATGGTCCCTGAAACTGCGGCTTCTCATCCTCCGGAGGCATCGCGGTAGCTGCGGGAGCAAGCTCTTCGAAGTGCAACCCTGCGTCTGTCGTTGCTAGTGGCGTCTCCAGGAGATTTTCTTTTGCGATTCCCGCCGGCTTGTTTTCGATCGCCAATAGGGTGTCTGGCGTTGACGATTCTTCACCATGTGCCTGCTGGGTTTCCACTAATGTCGGCGCTTCTTCAACGCGATCGGTGATGATACTTATTCCACAATCCTCAGAAGCTCCTGGAGAGTCAATAACAACAGTGGCAACATCAGCCCTACTCTCTTTTGGGAGGGGTGTGGTGGTGGGCACATGTGCAACAATCCGGTCAATTGACTGAAGCTTCTGGCTGTCACTCTCTTCAATACCAGCGGATGGCAGAGTAAGAGAATCCTCAGCTTTAGTTGCCTCAGGTTCTCGGTTCTCGGTAACTGTATGGTCCTTCGCGGGCGCAGCCTCGACCAACGTCTCAGTTTGTCGTCCAGCATCATCAATGGATTTCGACTCAGTACTGATAGGGTTAAAATTAGGACGACGGGCCTCTCCTGGACTATCTGGTTGTACGGAGGTTACAATGTCTTCCTGTGCTGTCGCGAATAAAGCCTTTTCCTTGGAATGTTCACATTCGGTAATGAAGGTTGGATTGGCTGATGCTTCCGCTGAAACCGTTGGTTCCGCAATGTCCGCAAAGGTCGACTGTCGCTTCTTCTTTTTGTTACCCTTGGTGAGGTCCCAATCCTCTATTTCAGACTGCGTCTGGCAGGCCATCGTTTCCACCACTTCAGGTTCTTTGAGAGGAGCTTGTGGCACTGCTTCGTTTGGGCGTTCTATATGCGCAGACTCAACTTCTGGCATGCTAGGCACTGATTCAGCGAAGCTGGTGTCCAAGGTAACTGGTCGACTTTTCCTTTTACTATTCTTTGAGTTGGATTTCTGTGAGGTTGACCACTCTCTTTCGATATCAGGCTGCGTAGCTTCAGGAGCGGCACGGGAGGAACCATCATTTTCCATTAGTGTCTCGGACGCTTCATTTCCTTCGGCCTCCTTGGAGGCAGATCGACGGGCCTTCTTCTTTTCTTTCTTCGCTTTCTTGTGGGAAATGCCCGATTTTCCAGACATCTGATCCACGGAAGCCGTCTCTGACGGTCTGAAAATCGTCAGATCTTCTTCCGGAGGAACTACGAGTGGTCCTGTCATTTCGGACACATCCCTATCACGAATGCTCAGAAGTTCGGATTCCCCTTGCGGCAGCAGTTCGACGTTGGAATTATTATGCTCAGAGACACCTTGTGTTTTGCCTAATTCTTCCACCCTTTCAGCTGCCTGAGGTTGGCTGTCGAGCTCTTTCAACTGACTTTGGATTACTTCTTCCGTCGAGGCATCGGGAACCCTTTCTTCTGCATCCGCGAAAGTGAATAATTGGTGCTCTGCAGCTCCAGACGTTGCCTGATTTTCTGAAAGGCCTGATATGTTTTCTCCGACTTCATTCTCAACGCCGCTTTCAATATATCGAGCTTCATCTGGCCCGACCTGTTCGCCATCCCTAGGTAGACCGGTTTCGTCCAATGTCAATTTGCGGCTCCGCTTTTTGTTCTTTTTGTTCTTGCCTGGGGGAGCCCGCACTTCTTCAGCTTGATCTCCGGGCGTGGTAAGGCCGTTCTCCACACTGAGGTCTTCAGACGCTCCCGGGATTCCTGATTCATTAACGTTGCAAGGTTGAGCGACATTGTTTGTTGTTGACCGAGAGGCTTCTTCAGTCGGGGCCCCAAGAACTGGCTTAGGACTCACAAATTCAATGTTGGACTGTCTTTTTTTCTTTTTCTTGTCCTTCTTTGACTTTGTAGGCACGGATATCGTGTTCTCTTCCTGAATATTTTCAGACTCTCCTTCCACAAGTGGTATATCAAACTCGGGTGGAACAGTCTCCTGGCCAGATTCCGTGACCTGTTCTAGAGCAGGTTCCAATCCCTCTGCCATTGTCTGGATTGTTGGAGACTCGGTCACACTTTTCGAGTCAATGGTCGATTTGCCACTAGAGCTCCCTACAGTCTCTAATGGGAGCAGATCAGTAGCACGAGTCGATTGCTGCTTCTTCTTTTTGTCTCCCTTTGACGTCATAGACATTGATGCTAGGTCTTCGGCCTCTTTACCTTTAATTATAGCTGTAGTACCCTGGACGTCTACTTCGGGTAAGGTGGACTTTTCATAGATTGGTTCTGGTTCATTCGTCACCTCGTATTTGTCACTTGCTGGAGGTTCAGGTTGGATCGATTCAGCTGTGAGGGTTGATTGCCGTTTGGTTTTCTTGTTTTTCCTCTCTTCCTTGGACCGCTTCGATGGAAGGCCTAAATCTTCCTCTGTCATCGGCTCCAAGTTACCAGCAACCGCCGTTAGTTCGGCGCTGGCAGTAGGCTCAATAGTAACCTCGCTGCTAGCCTCAGCTCCAACTTCATCACTGGTCTCGACAGAAGTATATGCCGTTCCAGCAATAGCTTCAACAATTGGCTCCGTCGTCGGCCCATCAGAATTGGTACAAGGAGCTTCAATCGTAGCTTCTCTTGTCGGCTCAGTAGTTGGTTCAGTAGCGACTTCCCTGGCGGTTTCCATGATAAGCTTAAGAACAGGCTCGATAGTAGATTCAGTAGCAGGCTCTCGGGCAGTTTCTGCAAAAGGTCCTACAGAAGGCTCAGGACCACGCTCAGTAGTATGCTCCGCAGCAAGTTCAGGAGTAAGCTCGGGACCAGGTTCAGTGGTAGGTTCAATGGCCGGTTCGGGGGTAGGCTCAGGGCCAGACTTGGTATTAGGCTCAGTTGCCACTTCAGGAGTAGATTCTGTAGTAAGCTCAGGAGCAGGACCTGTAGTAAGCTCAGCAGTAGGGTCGGCAGCTGGCTCGGGAGCAGACTCTATAGCAGATTCTGTAGTGGGCTTAGTAGTAGGTTCGGTGTCTAACTCAGGAGCGAGTTCCGCGGCAGGTTCAGCTGAAGGGTCGGTAGCCGGTTCAGGAGTAGGCTCTCCTGCAAGCTGGGGAGTAAGCCCAGCAGCAGCCTCAATAGGCGCCTTAGCAGAAGATTCGAGGGCTGCTATCTCTGTAGGCGGAATGGTAGCCACCGGAAACTCAGCAGTATGAATCTCAGCGCTCGGAGTTCCAATGACTGATGCCTTAGCAACAGTCTTGGCAGCGGAAGAGCCGTAGACCTCAGCTTCAGCCTCTGTAGTGTCAACGGACCGTGAAGCCTCATCGAGCAACTTGTCAAGGACAGATTCTGAGGCAGAAGGCATTGTTTTCTCGGTATCAGACGATATTTGGGGGCCGGAATTGTATTCAACGGCCAAGTCTCCAGGTTCGAAAACAATATCGTTCTTCTCCACAATTTCTGTAGGAAGGACTGTGACTGATTGCGGCTGGACGGCGCGTGCTCTCTGTCCTTCAACATCTGAACTACCTTTGACGTCTGTAAGTCGCAGATCTTCGACCGCTTTCCTGTTTCCTTCCAAAAGCGTAGTAATACCTGCACCTTCAACTTGGTCCTGGGTAAGCTCTGGGAAGTGCTTATCGTTATCAACTCCAATGATCTCGGACGTGCCAACGACATCATCAATCATGATCTGACGCTTCTTTTTGTCCTTCTTGAGTTTCTTGGATTTCTTCTTGGAGCCGGAGCCGTCACGAATTGCTTGAGCCTCTTTAGTACGAGCCGAAGTCGCCTCGTGCTGGACATCAGCAATTTCTTGGGCTATTAACTCTTCAACAGAGGTTTCTTCAATAGGACCTTGAGACTGTACTGGACTCTGGTCATGTTCTGAAACTGCTCGAAGCTCTTCGGTGTGATCTGCTCCGGCAACTTCTGGTGGTGTTAATGCGGCGATCTGCGGTTTGTTGGATACTTGCTCCCCTTCAACGGTAATAGGAATGGCTTCGAACTCCAGCCCCAGGTGTGTCGCAGGTTCTTCATCTTGTACTACACCAACCTTGGGTATAGGTTCCGTGGATGCGTCTACGGTTTCGAAGTCTTCTTTGACCCTTTCCCTAGAAGAGACTGTTCCTACTGGCACAGTTAGATCTGTTGGCGTTTCAGGAGACCTCTCCGCTTCTGATTCCTCTGCCGGTGCACCAGGATTTTCTTCGGGAGGCTGTTGCTTTGTAAGTAAATCTTCTGCTCTAGGCGAGTCCAGAGCGGTGGTGACATCCAACGCCGAATCATTCGACTTGTCATTCTGCGGAGGATTGTTGAGTTGTGTATCTCCTGACTCGGTGCCTTGCGGTGTTTCGTCTTCGGCAACTTCTGGAGCAGCTATGGGAAGTGAGGGATCAATCAAACCAACTGCCGAAGTCAGATCAACCGATCGCGGTGCTGATGATCCTAGAGACGCTTGAGATTCCTCGATAGCTACTGGCTCTTGCACCTCTTGCTCTGTGAATGTGGCAACTCTGGTCTGACTTGACACATCGGCTGCTTCGTCTGTGCGTAGTTGAGGTTCTGAGGGAAGCGCGGCTACGGCGGGTGGTTGAGATGTTGACCCAGTCGTTTCTTCTATCACCACAGGAACACTCTTTTTCTTCTTGGACTTTTTCCTTTTGCCTGGCTTTGAGCCCATCTCTTGCAGATCTTCTGACTCTTGTTGAGCGGGTTCTGCATAAGTAATGGCAATCTCTGGTTCGTCATGAATATCTGGTGTCGGCAGAGCGTGTTCATTCGAAGGGGGCATCGCACCGGGCTGTTGCTGAACAGCAGGCTCAGTAACTTGGGCAGCCCCGCCAGGCCTGGTCTGCTCCACGCCAGTTTCAGCCTCATCCCAATTGTACGTTTGACGCTGTTTCCTCTTTTCCTTCTTTCCCTTCTTTGATTTCTTCGAACCAGGCACACTGCTATCGTCTTCGGGCATAGAGGATGAAGGGACCTCGCCACCTTCAACACCAGCCGCCATGTGAATAGTTGATTCCGTTTTGATTCCACTGGGTGGCGTTTCTGACCCGCTGGGCTTGATTTCGAAATCATTACCAAATGGATTTGGAGGTTCCTCAACCGGAGTAGTCTCTGCAATGCCATCTTCGTACGAAATCGGCTCCGTTGTCTTGACGTCTTGCCGCTCCTCAGTTGCAGATTGAAGATCCTGATCAACCTCTGCAGGCTTGAAATCCGGTTCCAGCAAGCTATTCCGCATTGCCGCTTTCTTTCCTTTCTTCTCTTTGCGTTTATCTCTCTTGGAACGTCCGGTATCGGTTTCCCTTTCAATCGGTCCTGAGCCTTGCTCGGCCAAAGGGCCAGGGGGATCGCCTTCCTCTCGGATGGTGGACAAATTTGTCCCTCCAGTATCAGGAATCTCTGGTTGAAATGCTTGATAAGCTGCTTCAACAGTTGCACCTTCAGTCAAGCCCCGAGCTTCCATGGCTTGCTTGAACGCCTCTTCTAAAGGATCTAGGCTTGGTTGTGCGGTATCTGAAATAATCTCCTGGGTTTCAGAATGTCGTTCATCTTCTGCAAGGGATCGCTCTGCCATTGCCTGACCGGACGGTACATGCTCCTCAATGTTGACAGAGGGTACGGCTTCTAGCTCTGCAGGTGTTTCGGGCTCTTGTTTTAGCGTAACTTGTGTTGGCTGTGTGTCTGGTGCATCCTCAAAAATCTCCTCGGATCCAGAAGCAAGGTCATCGGCAACAACATGCATGTCTAAGGCAGACGGAGCCCCGGACTCTTCGGTATCCTGAATATCGACATCGACATAATCTTGCTCCCTGCTCCCTTGCGACGTAGGCGGGAAGACTTCGTTAAAGGCCAAAAGAGCATTGTCCTCATTTTTGTCTCCTCCATCCTCTGACTTTTCCAGGTCATCACTAGATCCCAGTGCTACATCTTCGACGCCTTCCATTTGAAGCCCCACATCATCTGATAAATCTCCGACGTGTTCGGCATGCTCATCGAGACCCTGTTTAGTATGGAAAGGCTCATCTGCAGTTGCTGGCATATGGAAATTTGCCTCGTGGCCCTCGATGAGTTCCTCTTCAGACTCTTTTACTTTTTCGGGATTGGTTAAGGTTGATTCTGCGGCGTTACCTGGGTCAGATAGACAACCATCCATCGGCTTCGTCAAAGCGATTCCTTCCATAGTCGATGGCAATACGGATTCGCCGGCAGGCGGTTTCTTTGGCTCCTCAGTGTTGACCGTGGTAGTTTCTTCGGCTTTCTTTTCAGGGTCAAAGTTACGTTGACGAATCTCCGCGAAGACGTTTTGCCAAGCGTCAATGGCCACGGCCGCTTCACTAGGGACCTGCGACTCCAGGTCCCGACGTAAATCAACAGCTGTTTGGATTGATTCTTCCTGTGTCGGCTGTTGTGAGCTCGCAGGATCGCCATCTTTCTCGATATTTATTGCTTCACGTTCAGGCTCTGCCTTAGCCGCTGTGAACTCCTCTGCAGAGAATTGTGACTTCCTTGGCGTTTCCACTTGTTTCGTCGTGATATCCTCTGGGGATTCTTTGAGCACTTGATGGGCGGCGGCAGCAGCCGTGGCGGACGTAATGAGAGCTCCAGCCGCTGCGGCAGCAAATCCGTCTTGCCCCGCGACTGATGTTAATCTCGTGATCGAAGCGCTCCTTCTACCCCGGCTGTGACTTCGCGATCCTGTCGGAGATAGACTCCTGCTTCGTGCACTCATGTAATCCTGTTCCAGCTCCGAACTTGCGACACTAGGGAGAGGGCTTTGAGGTCCAACTTCCTCGTCCACAGGGGCTACGTCGTGAATGAGAGCCGGATCTTGGAGCAACTCGCTTGGTGAATGGAATTCATATTTCGGTTTGGGCTTCTTTTCTTGTTCACGAGCTTTCTGTGCATCGCCGGGCACTGGCGTGGCCGATCGAGAATCTAGATAGTCTGGGGATTCTCGCCTTTTCTCGTTGTCATGCCAATACGAGTAGCTGTGTCGTCTGCCACGGTCGCGGAACATTTCGGCACTGATGCGTGACGGAGTAACAGGATCAGGCAGGCCTTGAAACTGGGCTTCAGCTCGAAGATCTTCCATAGATGGATGTGCCGAGCTGGTTTTGCTGGATGGCAACGATGGATATTCTTCAGCAAGCTCGGATGTCGCTGTTTTCGCGAAATTTTGTCTCTCCACAAGATACAGCGGCCGGAATTCTTTGCTGGATCGGAACTCCGTCGACTTTGGTCGTCCTTGACGAGTTCGAGGGGTGGTCAGTGGCGAGCTTGGTGACATGACTGGTGAGCTCATGGAGAAGCGTGGGTTAGTCGGAGACATAGGGGGCCGTCGGAAATGTAGGGGGACGGCGGTTGGGGAGCTAGAAACCATTGGGCTAGAAGGGATATCACTTGTTCGTATAGCAGAAAGGCGTCGACAGGCGGTAAAGTGGGAGACACTGGGTGAAGAATCTGCCTCAGGGTTCTCCACTTCCTCGTCAACACCAGGAGGTGACTTGTTAGGCATAATTCCAAGTTGATCACCTTCCATCGAAGGTGCAGGTGGTGCGTCAACATGATCAGCTTCCGGAGGGATGACGGTACCTCCGGTATGGACATTAGTTGCAGTTGCAGACCGTGAAGATGGTTGTCTCTCGGATACTGGCCCCAAGACACCATCAGTACCCATTGGCGTATCCGTGACCATTGGTTGTGGCATTTCGGGGCGACTCCCTAAAAAAGACTCTTGGTATACAGTGTCCTTGATGGGTGTTTCAGCGGTCTCTTCAGCAGAAACGAATCCGTCGTCGACAGTTTGATTATCGGAGACTGTTCTCTGATCAATGTGTCCGGTTTGACGATCCCAGCCTCGTCTGCTGCCTCCGGATGGTTCAGAGACAGCAGAGGTGACATCGTCTAATTCTTCTCTGTCCTTGGACCTGCGTTTCCTTCGAGACTCGGACTTATCGTATCGCTCTCGATCTGCTTGACTGTCCGACTTCGAAGATTTCGAGCTCTTCTTGCTAGACGTACTGACATCGCTCTTGTTGCTGGAGAACAGGCTGCTGAACAAGCCACCAAATTCCCTCTTTGTTTTTGAGTCAGTCGTGCTGCTCGTGACAAAGCGGTTATCACCATCATGGTGTCCATCTGAGTCTCTACGGTGTTTACCTCGCAACTCCTTCTCCTCATCTTTCTTGCTCCGACCAGTGGTTGTCTCTTTGTCAAGATTGCCATTGCTGTGCCTTGAGCTTCGTCCAGACTTCTTCTTTTCGTTGAGGTCATCGTCGGTACGAGCTCTTCGAAGCGGTGCGATGTCTACGTCGTCATCCGGTCCCCTATCCTTAGATTTTTGGGATGCCTTCACGCCGACATCGCTCTTGGGACCGGATTTCGAGCTCTTAGCTTTCTCCCGTAAACGTTCCCATTCCTCGGGATCTGAGTGATATCCCCCCCTTGAACCTGACCGTGAACGCTGCGACTTTGAATCATTAAACGTACTCGGCTTCCTTGGTCTCGAAGGCTGCTCTTTAACTCTGCTTACTGATCCAATTCCATCCTTTGCGGTGTTGTCCTTCATTACCTGGTCTGCTGCTAGGAGGATAGATGCGCCTAGCCCCAGCCCTAAGGCAGAGGAGCCAGATGCACTGTTGTTATCCACGAGGTCAGGTTTACTGTCGGTGGCGGGTAATGGATGCTGAGAAATGTCTTCTGAAGGGCCTGGAGGAGTTTGCTGTGATGGAGGTGGCTTAAACGCATCCACAAAAGAACTGGGACGCTCTGGACGACGTCGGTCACTCTTGCTCATCCTCACACCGCTAGACGTGTTCTCGTTGTCGTGCAAGTCCTGTTCGGTTCGCTCGTCTCTATTCTCCAAGGCGAGGATGGTTTGTGACTTGGTATCGTGTTGGACTGTCGCGGGATAACCCGCAATAATGCCCAAATCGCTCACCGTTTCTGCGAAAGGGTTTTGATAGAATGTTTGAGTTCGAATAGTCTGATCGGGTTTGGGTGAGAACGAATCCCCGAGCTGCTCTTCAGGCCCAGGGTTAATCAGGGATGCAGTGCTATCTTGAGCGTTGGATTCATCCTTGATAACGTTTCGAGTCGTCGTCCCTGAAGAACCGTCATTTCGCTGACGTTCCAGAAGTCCCTTGGCGATTTCGTCGGCTTCTTTGTCGTCAACGGTCCAAGCTCGGCTTATCTGAGGTCTGTCATCAACATAGGACGCTTGCTTCTCGAGTTTCTCTGCTTCCTTCTCATCTAGTGTCCACGCCCGACCTACACTTGGTCGGCGTTCCCTTTCTCCGGGACCGGAGATTGGCTCTTCAGTAACCTCTTTTGGAGAGGGGACGTCTGCAGGGTTATCACCCTGTATATGTGGCTCTGGGCCATAATCTGATCGCTCATATTCTGGAGTCTCAACTTGGTAAATATACGTGTCATGGTCGCCCCATGTCACCTTGGACTCCTTCCTTTCAAGTGGTTCGCTAATATCCTCCTGTGACTCTTTCGATTTGGGCTCAATGACGGGTGTTTCGTCGCCCTTGATGCTGTGAACCCGGCTGCCAGGCGGCGTGGGTTCAATCAGTCCGAGAATTGGGACAGGCCAGGGGTATAGCAAGGGATCATCATCCAATTCTAGACCAAACTGTCGATATGTAAAAGGGTCGAAAGGATGTGAGCTGCTAGGTTTGGGCGCTCCGGGAACGATTTCAACCACAGTTGCTCCAAAGTCGTCTCGATGCTCGGCCTTGTCGTTGTTTTCTTTGAGATGTTCTTTGAGTTCTGCGGGAACGAAGAAAGTACTATAGTCGTCGTGATGAACTGGTGATGATGTTGACCTGACACGTTGAGCAGTCGTTCTTGCTATTCTTTCCTGCAGCGTCTCGGGAGGCGGTGAAGGGTCCTTTTCTCTCGTCTTCTTCAAACTCGACTTTCGGGTAGGTGTTGCATCTTCGCGAGACCCGCTTTTCTTGTCTTTACTAGCAAGTGAATCTGCAGCCACAACTATTGCTGAACCGATGACAGCACCTTCAACAATTTTTTTTAGGCCTGACTCCTTCCGCTTTCGTTCTTCAGCTTTTTGGTGCTCTTGGTAGAGTTTCTCCAATTCACGGTTAATTTCAGCGACTCGTTTATCGGTGTCGAGGGGGTTTCCACTAGCTTCAGACGAATTCCTGGGCCTTGATCCTGTCTGGTCACGTAAAGGCTCGACTGGCTTTCGGGTGGTCTCCATCAAGACGGCAGCATCAGCGGACGTTCTTCGATTGTTCTCGCCCGAAGTGCCTCTCCACCTCCTGTCCCAGTTATTGGCGTGTCCTTCATTCTCGAGCTGCTCGTCGCTTAAGTTGAAATTAACGCCGGGTCTCGAGCCTTGAGAAGGCAACTTGGCCTGGTTTGAATCTTGTCTCAACTGTGGGACAGGGCTTGGTTCTCTCTGCGCCCTGGCTCTAGTCTCTTCCTCAGCCTGGATGCCTTCTAAAATATTGTGGTTGATGAAAGGTGCGACGGGGACAGTTGGTTGAGGTTGCCGCAGGGGAACAGAAGTTGAGGACACTCTGGTAGCCCGGGAAGAAGCACCCTTCGATGGTGGATCAGATATTGGTCGAGGATCCAATTCCTGCATCGGATCTAGCAACCCGTGAGTGGGTGGATGATTTGATTCCTGCGACACTGCATTAGACGCGATCCAGCCACCCAGAGGGCCTCCTACACCCGCTACGGCAGCCGTTTCGACCGTTGACCTGGGAAAGGAGGATCCGCGGCCAAAGTTTTGTTGTCCCAAGCTGTTCTGGTATTGTCTCTGCTCCTCCTCCCTGAAATTGTAGTCCGACATTGTCGCTAGGCCACCTTGAGAGAGGCGTTCGCGGCTCTGGGCAGCGGACAATCCTCCACCGTATGCCAATGCTGTATCCACACTGGTTTCAGAGTCAACTTCACCATCTATATCATACCATTCATCGTCGCGTCCGCAGGAATTTTGGTGGTCGGCCAGGGAACTTCGACGTCCATTTCCAAGTCTGACGCCTGGACCTGTATGCTTGTCAGCGTCTGTGTTTCGCCTACCTTTTGAATCCCTTCGACCGGCTTCGTCAGCAAGAGCAACACCGGTATCAACTAGGTCTTTCATCGCAGTGACAGAGTTGTCTCGATCCTGCCTGCCGTATCTTTCTCGAAGTCGCTTCTTAGAGACCTTTCTGCGAATGGTACCCTCTCCAAATCGTAGATCTGCGTCGGACGAGGAACTCGAGGCATTTGAGAAACTGAACAGGCCCTTTGGTTTTTTGCCCTTCCTTGTATTGGCCGAAGGGCTCGTGAAGAAGCCCATCAGACCACCTGGCCCATCGTTCGTCGTCGAGAGATCGACGTATGAATGCATCGGAGATACCCGTTTCGAGAAATATTTCCTCTTTGAACTGGGTGATCGACTCCTGCTTTGACTTCGCCGCCGGGATTTCCGGCCAAGTGTTGCAGCACCAGCAGCAAGCCCAGCGGCACCAACACCAGCACTCAATGCTGCGCCGCGAGAGATCCTGTGATTAGATGAGGTTGATGACGACGAGCTTGACCGGCGATTGCGACGTCCTTCTTTTGCAGAAGATATTTTGCCCCTCCCGGCCCTGTGGCGGCTATGCTGTCTTTCAAATTGTCCATCTTGGTATCGCTGAAATTTCTGCTCTTCTTGAAAACTGACTCGACTCTGGTTCACAGGACGGCCTGATTTCACAGAGTCTGTGTCATCAAAGCCATGCTTCTGATTCACCACTGCTTCCCCGAGTGTCGCCGCCGCGTAGCCAGTCAAGCCTCCAGCTATCACCTTCTTCTTGGCAGATGAGTGTCGCCGAAGATCTTCATCCGAACTACGTCTATATGGCTTGTCCACTCGAGTCGTACTCCCATAGCGGCTTCCAGGGGAGGGTCTCCGTCGGCGATAGTCATGTCTGCGGGGCGCATCGGCGGGCGAGCTCATGGGGTCGAAGCAATACTTGCATACACCGATTGTCTCAGTGTATTCCTCAAATCGAGCCACTGCATCAGGATCTCGCCACCAGTCGATGAACCGCCCGAACAGTCCCTGATGCTTATGTCGGTGGGCGTGATGCGTCTGGGTACCTTGCGACAGGGCATATCCGCTGGTTAATCCACCCATATTGGTTGACGGTTGATGCTGGCTGAACGAGTGCTGATGGTGAGAATGGCCAGAAATGTAGGCGCCAGTTGCTGCTCCGGCAAGAGCAGCTGAGCCGCCATACAAAGCTGCATTTGAATGTTGCAGTGAGCCTCCCATACGAGAAGGGGCAGAATATGGGGTTGATGTATTTTGCGATCCGTGAGGGGGTCTGTTGGGCGTTTGGTATGCACTGGTTGATATCCCTCCGCCTCCGCCAGCGTAATATTCTGCGGCTGCGCCGATCGCTACAGAGCCTGAAGCTGGAAAGGAGCTGACTGTATCAGGAGCGAGCCCGAGCAGTTGTGCATGATTCCCTTGAGGGGTAGGGCTTGCCCTAGGGCTGACCCCATAGTGGCTAAGCTTGGGAGGTTTGTTGAATCCTGAGGTTGGCTTCTGAGGAGGCTTGGGAGGTGTCGTCTGTGGTCCAATGTCGCCGCCATAGTTGGCATTACTGAAATAGCTGGCAGCAGCACCGACTTGGCCCATGCTACTCGGCTCAGGCGGAGGTTTGGCTTCAATCGTCGGTTCCAGGAGGTGGGCCTGTTCTGCGCTGGTGACAATATTTGGAGCATTGGGGCGAACACCAGGTTGAAATGCCACTGATTCCCCGTTGTCACCATAATACTCTGCGGCTAGCCCAGGTGGTCGGTACGGCTGAGAATAGGTGGATGGAAACTCTCCAGGAAACTGGTTCTGAGGTAGAGAAGCACAATCATTCCGGTGACTGCGAGGACCATCCTTCGCATTTATCTTATTGGACTTGTGAGAGTCGCGAGGATTGTCTTCTTTCCTTGATCTCCGTGAATCGTTGTCTGCTTTATCCCCACGACTCCTCTCGTAGTTTGCACTCCTGTCGGTCTTGCTTGACCGCCGCCTTGTGTCATTCGGTTCAGGCTCTATTCTCGAATCATTTCGATAATCGTTTCGGGATCGATCAGATATCTGTGATGGTTCGTCGGTGATTGTTGTCGCATAAGTGGCGTCGCGATCCTCATGTTGGTCGCCCCGGCTGGGCTTGCGGCGTGAAGAGGAAGTGGTCATCGCATCTGCACCGGAACGTGCTTTGGAAGGGTCTTGATCATCATGTCTCGGTCGCTCGGACCTTGAAGATGCTTCTGAGCCGGCTCGGTGCCGGCCTGAGCTGGATTTTCTCATGGCACATCAGACGAAATTGGTGAGGCGTCAAGGCATACTCGATATGCGGATTCGGCCCGATGAAGTGGAAGAGATGAGGGCTCTCGTAAATATTTGTATCATTCCTCCAACTGGCGTGATGTCGATATTCGTTGATGATGAAGAGAAGATGGCTATCCTGCGTAAATGAATAAAAAGGCAGGACGGCGTGCTGCGCTGGCAGCTGCGATGATCGAATTGTCTTTCGCGTTCTGCAAGTGCAGGTGCTACGAGATTTGAGTGGCTGGGCCTGGCATGTTGGCGATGCAGCCTGGGTGGCCTGTAACCCGAACTCCGAGAGCCTAGGAAATCGCCAAAATGATCAGGGCTCGCCTAGCTAGTCGATGATTTTTGGCACGGTACCGAGTAATCTATCCAGAACTTCATCTAGGGATTCACGCCGTTAAGCTCAAGCAAAGGTTTAGATGACTCTACGGACCACAGCCCATTTCGAGTTGTATATAGGTACCTAGCTCGCTAGGTAATAGTTACTGAGCATCGACTTACATGTTAGCTATCTCAGCACAGCCAAACTTTGCTTGGTCCACAACCATCCAACCAGGAGTCCCGCGGCTCTTGCCCATAAGCTCTCTTCGCCAGCTTCAGCTGGACAAGGGGCGAGGGACATCGGAAGCTCCCACACTGATTGGCACCATGGATATCGAAGGGTTTAGGCGCACTTCGCTCGTCCATCGACTGACTGGTACGGATACTTCACTCCTTATGAGTATAATACTTCCTCCAATCATGAACATCCTTGAATCCCAAAACATCTCGGATTTTCTTGTTTGAAAGCGGAGCCTCCCACTCACCCATCTTTCGCGTGATTGGTGTGTTTGGACAGGTCTTCTTCAAGAACTCCTCCGTCGGCACTGTCGTGGTAATCGTGTCGTTGGTTGCGTTGAATATTTGGAAGCCGAGCCCGCTCTTCGCGACACACAAGTCACATATCTGGCCCAGATCTCGAGCATCAATATAGCTCCAAGCATTCCTTTTCCTCGTTTGAGGTTTGCCCACATGTCGAGGGAAATCCTTCTCGTATTCGTGCGGCTCAATCACATTCCCGATCACCAGCGCATAGATATCGTTATTGAAACGTCGGGCAAAAGTCCGTGCAATCCGCTCTCCGGCCAGTTTGCTGCAGGCGTACGTATCCTCCGGATTACGATCGTAAGTATCCTCATCGAGAGGGAAAGAAAGGTAGTCATCCTCTCCCTGGGTGAAGCAAACACCATAGGTCGTCTCGCTGCTGGCAATGACAATCTTCTTGACACCCAGTTTGCAGGCAGATTCGATCACATTGTAAGTGCTCATGACATTGCCGCGGAACGTCTCGCTGTCTGGCACAATCATGTTGCGGGCATACGCAGCAAAGTGAATGACAGCGTCGGGAGGACCAGGATGCCTTGGCAGATCGTACTCGCTCATCGAAAACAGGGATGACAATGCATTGAAAACTTGAGCGCCGTCCGTCAGATCTGTCTTCATCGTGTATACACTCTTGCCAGGAGGGATGTGGTCTTTCGGGAAGTCCACCAAGTCCAAATTCAGAACTTGGTGTCCTTTGTTGAGCAAGTACGGAATGCAGTGTCGCCCGGCTTTTCCAGAACCACCAGTGAAGACAATTCTTTTGCCCAAGGATGTGGCCATTTTCAAAATCGATGGTGGAAACGATATGGGTTAAGGGCAGAATTTGCTCGAAGACAGATAGAGATTGCAACACCCTTTAAAATATTTGAGAACTGATGACACGAAGTTTGACCGGGAAAATCACCGACCAGATTCCGTATGCAAGATCCGTCATGGCCCGAAGAGGAAGCTCGGTATATTAGAACACGGCACTTCGCTTTCTTTGCAACTTGTTTGCATCTTGATCACTCCGACGCCGGAAATTGAAAATGCTTGATTTTTGTTTGATTTGTGGTTGCTGCGAAGGCATAGGCGCAAGAAAACTCGCCTGTGAAGCAGCTCCCGACATGTAAGAACCTGGAGGATATCCTCCCCAGGCATTGGCATATGGAGCAGGGGGATAATGTCCTTGTTGAGTTTGAAGATAGGCGGTTTGTCCCGCTTCAGAGTAATGCCTTTGTTGTCGCGGATCTCGAGGAGGAAGACCTGGGCGAGCAGAGGCATCTTCTCGTCCATACATCTGCTTGAGCCACTCCGTCTCCTGTTGAATTTCTGTTTGCTGTCTCCTCCGTTTTTCTTTTTCCTCCCTTTCCAACAACTGCCTGGTCAATCGTTCTTCCTCCTCTTCTCTGCGCCGCCTTTGTCTCTCTTCCTCTACCGCCTGTCTTCGCAGACGAGCAGACTCGGCTTCGATTTCCCATTGGGTCCGTGGGTCTGTGGATGACGGTCGTGGATCATGGGTGGGTGAAACTGATTGAGGTCTGGTGTCCGACTGGAGGATCGCAGTTGTAGCGCTTGGGCTAGTCGGGCTGGATTTCTTGCCGGCAGAAAGATTGAAGGTCTCTTTCAAAGTACCGAAGTATACGTCACGAATCACCACAGCTCCCAGTAAGAGGACCACCTCGAAGCCTTTTAGGTCTTCAATGTCAACCCTCTGCAGATTTGGCTCGTACAAGGTCAACTCTTTGAGGGCCTTGAATATCGCGACAGTGATATCTGGATCTCTGTGTTTCCCCTTGCCTTCTATATCTGTACTCTTGCCAGACATGAAACACGCCAAATCTTTCGAGAACTTGCTATCCTTCTTCCATTTGAACACGATCTTGGGCGTGATTTCCAAAACTGCAGGATCGTATTGTGTTCGATCAAGCGCAGACCCGGATGGGGCTCGGAAGGTCTGTTGCGGTATCTCAAATTCCCATGACGCAGATCTGTTGAAACTGGCAGCTTTGTGCCTTATTGCAATCTGTTGATCTGGATTGTACAGCTGTATTACGAACTCGGATGGTAGGATAGGTTCTGGAGGAGGTGGGATAGCACCGCTCAACCGGGCTTGCTCTGAGAGAGGAGGAGGTTGTGTCCATTCTGGGATGAGTAGAACTTCGGCATAGAGAACTTCAGGGCTGAAGGCATCGGAAAGTGCTGCCGCATATCGGTTTTTCGAGGCGTGGTGATCTGGATCTAGATGTCGTACCGTGTAAGAAGGCTCATAGTCGGCTCCATGCTGAGAAAAGAGAAAGGTCGACAATTGTTTGGGTTTATCTTTGGACGGTTTGAGAACGAAGGCTGCAACCCTTAGCAATTAGATTGGTGGAAGACGGACAATCAGTCACACATACTTGGCAGGTTCTCATCCAGCATCGCGTTTCAGAACTGTCGTGATCTTCTTGTGGTACTGGAGTGGAAGGGGTTCCTTGCTATAAAAGATGAACTGGCTACCGGAGGCGGCTCTGAAGAATTGCAAGCTTCAATTTGACTCTACGGATGGATGTGAAGAGATTTGGGTCCATCAACAGGCGCAGGCGAGTCTGTCGGACCGCGCCTCTCATTACAAGTATCGAGAACACAGCCACGCTCTGCGGCGGACAAGCACACGAGGTCACGTCCTTGACCTCCTGGCGCTGCCTATTAGGCGACCCGGAGGCTGTGCTTCTCCCAAGCCTTGCGCCACACCGGGCACACATCCACTTTTCAGTGGATCGTCACAGGCGTCCATACCGAGCATCCAGTACAAAGGAATGCTTCCTCCGTACAACCAATGGAGCATGGACTACGAGTCACTAATAACCACCCCTGCCGCCCCCACAGATATTGTATGAACTTGATCGAGTGGCTTCCCCACGGCCCCGAAGCATGTTTGCATAATCAACAAACGAGACGCGCGTATGAGACCGCAGAATCGACTGTGAACGCCGACTAGCTTTCACAAACTGCAATTTGAAGGCCCCAACAGAAAGATATTGATCGAACGCATGCAATACTGAGTACCTAGGTATAAAGATGAATTCGTTGCGGGGGCTGCGCAATTGCTCATTGCTACTGAAGCCGCAACGTCTCCTCATCAAGGACCCCAAAGAGGTTTTCTATCTCCTTCAGTACGTCCTGGATTCCGAGGCTAAGCTGACCTGTGACTAAGGCATACGTGTACAAGAGACTGTAATCCTCATCTTTGGTCTTTTGCTCCTGTGCGTCACTCTGCCGATACTCAAAAATCTTTGCCAGGAGCCTATCCCGCGTATGGTCGATGCTAGGCAACGCGTCACTCGTGATTGAATATTCCAACTTCATAGAACTTGCAAGAACGCTAAACAAATGGCTGATTCGCCGGCACAGTTGTGCTCGTTCATTGATTGTGGCCTTCAGAAGTGCCTCCTCCCCGGGGGATATGTTTAAATCCTTGAGAAGGACCTCGTTCATCGCGTGGAAGGATTCAAGCATCTGCTCAGTTCTCTTGAGGATCCGACCGTAGATTGCATGTGGGAACGGCCGCCGGAGCTCGAACTCGCTTTTGCAAGCCTCTACCAGGCTCTGGAGCTTAGCCAGAAACCGCTGCAGGTAGAATTCCTCTCGGAGGTTCATATATCGGTCTGGAGAGACACCCTCGGTCAGCATGGCCAGTGGGTCCCTCTTCCAGATTAAGCCCATGCGAAGCCACAGTAGTGCAAGACCATCTTTCAGCTTTTGCCGGGCCGATATGGGCCAGACAGCGCGTGTAATGATCAGGCCCCATATGCACCCAGAGATTACTGCGACAACCCGATGTCCAGCAATTGCAAGGATCAAAGGATTCTTGGCGGCATCCTCTTCATCTCCATCATCTTCGTCATCACGACCAGCAAGACTGTACGCGTACAAGGCACTGAGGTTGTAGGTCAACATGATGAAGCGGCCCATCGGGCCTTTGCCTTTTCCGATGATCATGTATGCGGTCCAGTACGCCATACAGGCCCCGAAAAGGCACAGTACGACGGGATTTTCATGCGATATTTCCCACGCAGCCACTGCGAGAGCAGCTCCGAGACAGGTTCCAAGCACTCTCGAGTAGCCTGTTGTGTTTGACGCCCCGATTGTCA